AAATTTTGTGCATGCTGATTATCATCGGATTTGTTACATGCATTTCAGCAACAACAGTTATCTATTCTGTTAGCAGAAAAATAAACATATTGCTAATACAATACATGTACATTGAAGTATTTATTTTCTCTAGCCTTTTGCTAGCATATATTAATTTCATGCGAGTTCTTAAACGGATATATGTCCGTTTGACCTTTATACTACTGGATTAGTCCATTTGTCTTCTAGGTAAGGGTGACGCTATTATTTCGCGCCAAAATGTCACGTGTAGGTTTTTGCACCCTTTTTCTGGACTATTCTATTGAATGAAAATGAAACCTGCATGAATTTTGTAAAGTCGGTTCTTTTTTGTCAGAATCCTGGTCGAGCTTTGGAAAAAAATAAACAAACAATTCGGTGACATTGTGAAGTGAGTTAGAAGTTACATCATTTAAGTAATAAAACATTTGATGTTGACCCCTCATCTCTGGGAAAAACTTCCTGAATCCGCACCATGGCATTCATATATCGCCGTCAAGTTTGTTGGGTCATTTAAAGCTTTAATTATTTTCCCCACGTTTCCAACAATCTTTGATACTTTGGCATACCCAAGAAACTATCAATCATATTCTACACGTCAGTCATAATTGTTAGATCCCCAATTTCTTGTAGTTATCATATTTTCAGCTGCCACCTTTATATGTAGCCATGCTTTTAAGCATTAATCAAATGTTTTTCCTTATTTACGTCATCCTCTAAAACCATTTTAGACTTGCGGACAGAGGTGTTCATCTTTTCGTCCCGGGTTCGAATCTACAGCGGGACATGATCATGATTTCATTTTTTATTTGAGATACAAACAGTATTATATATGGTTTATGTTTTGTGCAACATCTCCATAATTTACTCCAGTGAAATAATTTAACCCCCCCCCCCCAAATGTAAACGTTTATAGTTTATCATGCTCATAGATTCTATAGATATTGATGACATAGTCAGCCAAGCTTTTTAAAAAGCTGTTACTTGTGTTATTATTTGTTTATTTATTCGCGCAAAGGACATTGGGTAGTAAAGGAGCTCTGGGAATGTTGCACAACAAAATTTGCTTGACGTGTGTACAATTCCGAACTTCTTTTCTTACACGTTATTCTATTGAGCTCGCTGCACTCGATATTATACGGTTCTTGCAAATGAAAGAAACGTCGTAGTCTTTATGAAAAGTAACCAATTTTCTTGATTGTACAAACATTTTTAAAGAAATTAGGGGGGGGGGGGTTAAGTTATACAAAGAAAAAAAAATAATATGTGTCATTTTAGATTACCAACGTGCAATGATCTGATACATGTGTACCGTATTTATGAGAGGTTCATATTTCTTCCCTTGTCTGAAAAGTGTCGCATCCATTGATATTTTCTTTTTTGCTACGATTTTTAATGCTTTAAAAATGATGTCTTTATTTAATTTGGTTATTTTCGATAGATAAATATCTGTCCCACCTGTCTGTGGGATGGGATAGTAAAGTGTCTGCCGTCCGTTTGTCTGTTCGCCTGTCTAGCTGTCTGTCTGTCTATTTTTCAAAATACTACTCTTCATGGCGTTTTGGTCTGATTTCAATATAACTTGGCACACAAGTACACATCTCTAAGATACATAGTATAGTGCATCGGTTTTTGAATGCTTTAAAATGCGACGTCTTCAACAGTTTTTGTCTGAATTCAATATTGCTTGGCACATAAGTAGCCTTCACTAAGATACAAAATATCGTGCATCCGTTTTTGATTTCGATGAACGGTGTTGCCATGGTTACTAAAAATAGAAATTTCTGTATATAATTCCTTAAAAATGTTATTCCTCCTACAGTTTTAGTTTGATTTCAATATAACTGGACACACAAGTAGACTTCAATGTGATACATAATTAACTGCATCGTTTTTGATTTCGATGAACGGTGTTGTCATGATTACATAAAATAGAAATTTATGTGAAATTCCTTTAAAACGCTACTCCTTCTACAGTTTTGGTCTGATGGCAATGGCTAGTTTTCTCTTCCTTTGTTATAAGTACAAACAAGTAGAGCTATAGTCTCGACATTGTGTTAAACCCAATGAATCATTTTGCCTCGATTATAGTCAGAAAAAAACTCATGGCTGAACATATCCAGTCATTTGGACGAGTCAAGATTAGTGACAGTGAAACTGTAAATTCGCTACCATTTTTCTATTAGTGAAACATTGCTGATATAATGCAGGGTGGGACGTGACCTTGACTCGAGTTCAAAGTCCCCAAGGATAAGATGTTTTTGGTTGGATGCATGGACAGAAAGAATATCGAAATAAAATGTTTGAAATTTTCCAGACGGTAACACATGGATAATATTTTTATAACGAGAGCTAGTCATTGCTTAGATCAAGGTCATTTGGAGAGTTCAAGGTCACTTGGAAAGTTCAAGGTCACATATATTCCTTTACAGTCTTTTTCCTAGCTAAACATTGCAAGTTGCTTCTCTTAAAAGGTTTAAATTTTCACTTGTAGAACTTTAGAATGTGGCTTGACCTAGACTCAAGGTTACGTCTTCTTATCCGTAGCTCCAACGGAAGACCTATTCGTTGCTTTGCAACGAGCTCGGCTCTAGTTGATAAACTTATGCAATTAACTTATTAAAAAAATTACACACTTTGTTTTCTGTTGACAGCTTGATACAAAACAATCCAGAAGTTGCCATGGATTCCATTGTCCACATAACACAGCACATGACCTCAAGTCAAAGGTCAGAGGTCTCCAGAATTCTGGCCAACATGGACACGTGACCAGAATGGACAATTAGAATCAACAGTGACTGTATTTAAAAACATATCTATTTAACAATCATATGAAATCATTAGGTGCAATTTGGATCAAATTTGCACAAAATTACATTATATGAAATCCATATCTGTCATTCATAATGACTTAATTATTAGAATTGTTTATGAATTCGTTTTGTAATTCAATTCAGTATGATATGTGAAACATTACCAGGGTTTGTAATTATTTTTGTACTAATTTGTACTAATTTATTATTACTCTACCTATGATGAATATCATATATATTGCTCCTTTTTAAACCAAGTTGTGTATATTCTGAATATTAATTTATTGACTGTCGAACAAATTGTCCATTTGTGTGCATTGAATTTCAGTAAATGTAATTAGGTATATTGAACACAAATTTAATATAATTGAATGTAAAAGTAATATTGCTTCACCTAGCAATGTGATGAATTTTAATAAAAACTTATCAATAATTGCATGTTTTTTTTGTTTTCCTGCCATGGTTAAGGAAGAAAATTTTGTAGGAAGTAACTGTTTAGTTTTTTTCCCTCTCACTTATAACAGATGGTCAGAGATATAGGATATAATCTGATGTCTGTACTAATACAGACAGGATATGTAAAGACCATTTGTCTTTTCCATCTCATTTTAGCTACACAAATACTAAAGAGGGAAGTTAAAACTGTTAGAATTAGATAAAGGCTGGTAGTATGCATTGGTGGAAGGAGGGAGATGACCCCCCCTCCCCCAATATATTTATCTTTCTATTTAGAAATTTTCATTTTGCTGCTCTGATTGGCTGCTTCACTTTTTTGTTGCCACCATCCCTTTAAAAAAAAGGTTTTGAGTTTTAAAAGTTTAAATGTTTTGTTTCTTTATTTTTAGCTCTACTGGTTAAAGACCAGATGAGCTTATGCGATAGTAAGGTGTCCATCTGTCCCGCACCCAATTAAATCCATTGTTACAGTCCTGTACAGTGAATGGTTGTTGCTACTGTCTATCTTATCAACTAAGTGTTCTTTGATACAAGATTTCATCTTGTATTATACTGACATGCAAAACAAATACTAGTACAACAAGCAGTGAAATACAAATATCTTAATATTTTGTGTATTGATTTTCGAAAATGAAGACAGTAGGTAAAACTTTATTTCGAACCATCAAAGCTTTCATTAGAATGTAGAATGTTATCTTTTAAATTCAGAAGGTAACACATAACTACCCTACCCCCATCCCTTTGCCATACCCAGCATGCAAATCCACCATATACAATATATGCAGCCAGATTTTTACCATGCATTAGATTCATCACTCTTTTGATCTTAACAAAAAAAATGAAATCTTTGGAATATATGTGCCTCAGATGCTGAAGTCGAATTTTCTCGAACCTGGCGCAGTGAAGTAACTCTTGAACTTCCGGATCACAGACTGTCTTTTATGTGAATGTTACCGGTAAACATAAATGATGGAATAAAAAAAAATCTTCTTTAGCTCATCTCTCTCTTGACTGAATATTGTGGAACTTCTGTACATACCGAGACTAAGGACGGTACACTAAAAGTCTGTATTCACAATTAAAAACCAAGGTCTTCTTGACTCGGGTATGTGGATCCCAGCCTTGAAGGCCCCTAGGGTTGGCAAGACTCCTATTATGTGTGGCAGGGTGTTCCACAGGCGGATGGCCGTATTGTGTGTGGCAGGGTGTTCCACAGGCAGATGGTCGTATTGTGTGTGGCCGGGCGTTCCACAGGCGGATGGCTGTATTGTGTGTGGCAGGGTGTTCCACAGGCGGATGGCGGTATTGTGTGTGGCAGGGTGTTCCACAGGTGGATGGCCGTATTGTGTGTGGCAGGATGTTCCACAGGCGGATGGCCGTATTGTGTGTGGCAGGGTGTTCCACAGGCGGATGGTCGTATTGTGTGTGGCAGGGTGTTCCACAGGCGGATGGCCGTATTGTGTGTGGCAGGGTGTTCCACAGGCGGATGGCCGTATTGTGTGTGGCAGGGTGTTCCACAGGCGGATGGCCGTATTGTGTGTGGCAGGGTGTTCCACAGGCGGATGGCTGTATTGTGTGTGGCAGGGTGTTCCACAGGCGGATGGCTGTATTGTGTGTGACAGGGTGTTCCACAGGCGGATGGCTGTATTGTGTGTGACAGGGTGTTCCACAGTTTGATGGCCGTATTGTGTGTGGCAGGGTGTCCACAGGCGGATGGCTGTATTGTGTATGGCAGGGTGTTCCACTGGGGGAAGGCTGTATTGTGTGTGGCAGGGTGTTCCACAGGTGGATGGCCGTATTGTGTATGGCAGGGTGTTCCACTGGGGGAAGGCTGTATTGTGTGTGGCAGGGTGTTCCACAGGTGGATGGCCGTATTGTGTGTGGCAGGGTGTTCCACGGGCGGATGGCCGTATTGTGTGTGGCAGGATGTTCCACGGGCGGATGGCTGTATTGTGTATGGCAGGGTGTTCCACTGGGGGATGGCTGTATTGTGTGTGGCAGGGTGTTCCACAGGGGGATGGCTGTATTGTGTGTGACAGGGTGTTCCACAGGGGGATGGCTGTATTGTGTGTGGCAGGGTGTTCCAAAGGGGGATGGCTGTATTGTGTGTGGCAGGGTGTTCCACAGGGGGATGGCTGTATTGTGTGTGACAGGGTGTTCCACAGGGGGATGGCCGTATTGTGTGTGACAGGGTGTTCCACAGTTTGATGGCTGTATTGTGTGTGGCAGGGTGTTCCACAGGTGGATGGCCGTATTGTGTGTGGCAGGGTGTTCCACGGGCGGATGGCCGTATTGTGTATGGCAGGGTGTTCCACTGGGGGATGGCCGTATTGTGTGTGGCAGGGTGTTCCACGGGCGGATGGCCGTATTGTGTGTGGCAGGATGTTCCACGGGCGGATGGCTGTATTGTGTGTGGCAAGGTGTTCCACGGGCGGATGGCTGTATTGTGTATGGCAGGGTGTTCCACAGGGGGATGGCTGTATTGTGTGTGGCAGGGTGTTCCACAGGGGGATGGCTGTATTGTGTGTGACAGGGTGTTCCACAGGGGGATGGCCGTATTGTGTGTGACAGGGTGTTCCACAGTTTGATGGCTGTATTGTGTGTGGCAGGGTGTTCCACAGGTGGATGGCCGTATTGTGTGTGGCAGGGTGTTCCACGGGCGGATGGCCGTATTGTGTATGGCAGGGTGTTCCACTGGGGGATGGCCGTATTGTGTGTGGCAGGGTGTTCCACGGGCGGATGGCCGTATTGTGTGTGGCAGGATGTTCCACGGGCGGATGGCTGTATTGTGTGTGGCAAGGTGTTCCACGGGCGGATGGCTGTATTGTGTATGGCAGGGTGTTCCACAGGTGGATGGCTGTTTTGTGTGTGGCAGGGTGTTCCACGGGCGGATGGTCGTATTGTGTGTGACAGGGTGTTCCACAGGCGGATGGCCGTATTGTGTATGGCAGGGTGTTCCACTGGGGGATGGCCGTATTGTGTGTGGCAGGGTGTTCCACAGGCGGATGGCTGTATTGTGTGTGGCAGGGTGTTCCACGGGCGGATGGCTGTATTGTGTATGGCAGGGTGTTCCACTGGGGGATGGCTGTATTGTGTGTGGCAGGGTGTTCCACAGGGGGATGGCTGTATTGTGTGTGACAGGGTGTTCCACGGGGGATGGCTGTATTGTGTGTGGCAGGGTCTTCCACAGGCGGATGGTCGTATTGTGTGTGACAGGGTGTTCCACAGACGAATGACCAAAGAGAAGATGAGTATTGATCTGGGATCAAGAGCTGCACACAAATCTATATCTCAATAAATGTACAGTACTTATTAATACATTTAACTAGTTTACTCTGCAGACTGTTGATTTATGTTGTTGTTCTGTTTAATTATTTGGCTGTGTATATACATGTATTAAACATGTATTACCAGTAAACTAATTAAAGACTCTCTTTTCTGTTTTGCAGGCTGTTTGGGCTGGCTGGGCCATGCTTCAGAGAATCCCAACTTACCAGAACTACTCCATAGAAATGGAATCATATTTATCGGTAAAGTTAATAAATTTTAAGACACACTCTCAGGTATCAATGTCTGTAGACACTTTATTTATTTTGCAGAAATAATTTTAAAATATATTTTGTAAAGAAATGCTTCTTTTTATTAATTTATAAGGTCATTTCTGTATGAGGCATTATCTAGGTGTAGCTCGTTTCACATGAGGTGTAGAGTTATCTGCTATTGTTTTTTGGAACAGGTCCACCAGAGGGAGCTATGCGGGCCATTGGAGACAAGATTGCCTCATCTTTTCTTGCCGAGACAGCTAAAGCCCCACCATGCAATTGAGTGGATCAGGTATTTTATAAAGTTTATCAGTGTTCACTAATGATTTTAGTAAAAATAAATAATTAATGAAAAAACAACATTTTTTGAAGACAGTCTAAAAACTGTATGTCATTCACAAACCAAGAATAACTGAAGCAGCAGCGTGTTACTATTCATCTCTTCAATCACAAAAATCTCAATGAACTAGTTTCTTTTCCCCCAGGCCATAGAAATTGAAAACTTACAGTCCATTTTCATTCCAGGCTTGACCCTGAACTACTCTAAGAGTGACAACAAACCAGTGAACGTGCCCCAGGACCTCTACAGGAAGGGGTGTGTCACCGACGTAGACGAGGGTCTGAAATCGGCCAATAAGATCGGGTTTCCTGTGATGATCAAAGCCTCGGAGGGAGGGGGAGGGAACGGCATCAGGAAGGCAGAGAGCGCCGACGACTTCCCCAATCTCTTCAGACAGGTATGGAATAGAAAGAGTTGGGAATTGAAAGAGTTATATATTGTATAAAATGGAAAGAACCATTTTGTCTTGATGTGTTAATGTATAAAAAATTTCAAGAAGACTCAGGCAGGTAAAGAATAAGGAGAGATATCTTATAGATGGAAATTTTAGTGAGATGCAAATTTATGGGGTTTATTAAAAAATGGTACAGATATATATTTTTACTGAGATGAAGTTTTAGTAGTTTCATAATGTAAAGAGAGATAGTGGTAACTGGAAAGGAATAAATTGTTAGCCAATGAATATTTAATTTTAGCTATTTCAGAACCCTTGCTGATAATGCCAAAATCTCAATATTCTCAAATTCTCAATAATAATTCTGCTTTTAAGAATTACACACATTTTGTTTCCAACAGAATTTTTACAATATTGAGTTTCAATTCTTAGCTTTTATCATGAAGTTCTCTAATTATGATCGATCTAAAAGAGGAATCCTGTGTTCTAAATATAGGTGCAGGCTGAGGTTCCGGGATCCCCGATCTTCATCATGAAGCTGGCGACCCATGCCCGTCACCTGGAGGTCCAGATACTAACTGATAACTACGGTAACGCCATCTCCCTGTTTGGGAGGGACTGCTCCATCCAGAGGAGACATCAGAAGATCATTGAGGAGGCCCCCGCCTCTATAGCCAAACCAGAGGTGTTCGAAAAGATGGAACAGGTAGGTGAACTTGGGCGTAATTGAGGTAAAAAATAATCCTGTTTATCAACTAACTCTTAATAGTACTTTATCATACTGAAGTAAAATACAGTCTTACTTCAATCCTTTGAATGCCAATATTTGAAATATCAGTATCTAAAAGTGATTATAAAGACTTGAACCACTTCTTTAAGTATGTCATGCTTGTATCTCAAATCTTTTTGTACTTTTTCTTGTTATCTCAATCCAAATTAGTTTGAGATATCAAGGATTGATTGAAATCTATCTTTTCTCTGTAGGCTGCAGTGACACTGGCTAAGATGGTGAGGTACGTCAGTGCCGGTACAGTGGAGTACCTTTATAATGAGGAGACAGAGACCTTCCACTTCCTGGAGCTCAATCCACGTCTACAAGTGGAACATCCGTGTACAGAGATGGTGGCCGACATCAACCTACCAGCCGCCCAGTTACAGGTAAAGGAAAACAAGGACAGATTGCCATCACTGTTTTTTGAAATTTTTGTTTTTTTTGTAGCAGCTGCTGTAGTAGATGCATATTAGGATGAAATAAAGATTCTCTTGTAAAATAAATTTCCATGTGTGGAGTAATATTTTTTGAGTCAAATTGTGTCTCTAAAAAATAGACATTCAGCTGCTTGTTTTCTTCCTTTGTTTTTTGGCAAATGCAGGTCATAAGAAACAAATTTTACATTTTTTTTATCAGTATCAGTGATTATTCTCATCGTTTGATACTTCGGTCAATGAGAAAGGATAAAAGCGATCCAAAGAGAGAAAGATGGGAGTGTAGGAAATCATTTACTTTCATATGCAAGACATAACATTTTTTAATTAAAAACATTGTTTTTTTTATCAAGAGTCCAACATATAGTCAAGGATTCAATTTTCTGTGACAATATTGACCTAGTGAATGCGCCACCTATATGATAGGTAGGAGCAATATGTTAACAAAAATGTGAAGTCAAAAATGAATTTTTTTGTTTGTTAACGTTTTAATCAAGTAAATCAATTCTTAATATTACACAGCGATTATTTATACAGTAAAACTTCTCTGAACCGGCCAGCTGCCGGACTGAATAAAATGGCCGGACTAGAGGGGTGGCCGGTTTTCCGAGAATCTAACATACTGAAGAAGTGTAGAACTGTTGAACAGATGCTTTAAAAATATATGATTGGTGTCTGTTGTAAATATCTGTCAACATGTTATTAATTATCGGCAGACACGTAATGTATTCTTAAGGTTTAAAAAAAAATTATTAGTGAGGATATATTCAACATACATGTCGATTTTTATAAGAAGAAATTAGAAAATAAGAACAAAAAAAAAACTTGGTAAGTTACATTATTAACCATATGAGAAGAAATAAACCAGACACTTTACCTTAACTAATACTGCATGTGTATCTGTGTATCGCTTACCATATTAAAAAAATATTTGAACATCAGTTAAAAGTAATAATTAAAACATCTCTGAGCAAAACTTCTGTTATTTTAAATTATGAAATGTATATTTTGGTAAACATTTTTAATTTTTTCCCTCATCATTATTTAAAAGTGCCCTATTTTAAGGCCACTTATGTGTATTTAAAAAGATGATGCAATATGGCGTGCGTTAATTTGTTGATTCATTAGGTTGACCCCTGTTCAGTTGATTACATATGTATGTCGTTGGGTTTGAAAAATAATGCATTTCACACGTTAAAAGTCACAATCATGCAAATATAAAATATGAATAAGTCACAAATGTAAATATAAGTAATAACAAGGGGTCCAGCCTAATTTACTTTGCAAAGTCGTATTTTACTTTGCAACCGAAAAAATGGCGGTATTTTTTGCGGATACGAAGCGGAGAAGCAAATGAGGTCAGTATCTTTTGCATGGTATGGTTCTAATACACTGTACATGCAAATTATACAAATTCAACTATCAAAACTTTTATTCCAGTTCACAGTATATATTGACAAGTAAAATTTAATACATGAAATACTTTAATGCGATGAAAGAAAATGACAATTACTGTTATAAAAGTGTCATCTGACATCTTACAATGTATACCACTACAATTTATGACAATTTTCGTCGTAAAAATAAATTATTATACATATTAAAATTGAATTTCATTAGTTAATGAGTTACAGCACAAAAAAAAATTGCTGATTTTCTATACACCCTGTACAGTTCCTTTTCCAATACACCCACTCTCAATGGTGATGGAATGTAAGATCCGTGG